ACCCCCAGTACAACAATAATAAATAGTAATAGTTAATAAAGAAAAATCTTTTTTTTTCTTCAACATATCAGCTTGTGGTAAAGGTTCATATTCTCATTGGACTTCCTGATGAGGTTTATACAAGGATTTTCCATGTGTTTGAATTTCAAAAATTGCATGTCTTATACTTTTAAGACATATTATTTTGAGAAGCAATGGTGATATGATTACTTTCAGGATAGATAGTATTAAATATACACATTGATTATGTTGAAACCCAGAGCATAACACCAGAGCACAGAGCTTGAGGAACAGAGGAACAACAGAAGCAAGCAGAGTTGTTTGCCTGAGGCCACCTTGTCTGCCTAAAGGGGACTCTAGGAAAGGGCTACAGAACACAAAAACAGACTAAAGGTTCACACGTGCCCAGAAGAGCTTGCCTCAGGCTGCTGATCCCTGGGAAATTTTATCTGCATAGCAAGGCAACCTTTGTTCACTATGAATTTCCTTCTCTCCCCAAACCTGCCGCCACCTCCCCCTAGCACCCCAACTCCTGTTCTAGTACTGTATAAATGCCAACCATCTGGCCCTTCCTGAGTGTCATCTGAAAGGCTTCTGCCACATGCACATAGTAAGTTTGTAAGCTTTTCTTCTGTTGATCTATTGTTAATTTATTGCAATAGATCAAATATACTCAAGGTATTGAGCCTTTAGACAGTACAGGGAAACTTGAACTTCCTATAATACTAAGGTATCTTGATCAGGCTACAGCTACTGTTTACTTAATTAGGAAATTATAGACTTAATGAGAAACACCCTGCTTTGTTCAGAAAACTTAGGGGCTATGCCCTGTCTAGTTAGATAAAGTGGAACAAATCAGGCAACTTTTGTAATTCAGTAGTCTTACCTATAAAATGAGATAACAATGCTGATAATATCTACTTCCTAGAGTTGTGAGAATGAAACACAATACCAAAGGCTTTTAAAACTGCTGTACAACAGTGAAATAAATAAATAAATAAAAACTAATGGTGTTATTGAAACCAGAGTTTTGGACCCAAGGCCCAAATTCCTGGGTTTCCACATGTCAGATCCAGCCATTTGCCCCTACACCCCAAATAGAGTGATTTATTACAGGGTCTGGAACATACTGTGGGAAGAGGCAAAGGAAGCACTCAGTCAATCTTCACCCATCTTCTGGGTACTGACATGAGCTTTGGCTTTAAATAGATAAATAATTAGGGCAGAGAACAAAAGTTATGCATAGTTAAACAGTTCCAGTCACAGGTGTGTTCCAGTGGTCAAGTGGAGCCTGGTTGACCTTTATCTCAGTCTTTATTCTTCAAGAGTTTCAGAGAAGTTGCTATTGCTGTCAACACTTGTGGGGAGCAATTTGATTTCCAAGACATGATTATTCCTACTCCAAGTTGCAGCCTCATCTTTATATGTAATTGAATTCATTTGGGGGGTGATCTGTCCTGCAAAGCTCTCCTGTTCCTTAGACAAAGTTTCAGTCCCTTGTCATAAAGATGTTATCGATCATTCCTGTCCTTTCTTCATTCCAAGATGGCCACAGGTCTGCAGGAAAGAATGGCTCAGAGCAAAGGACAATAGGTACAAACTGGAGTCAGATGCCAAGCTTTTCTCCTGTGTTTAGTTAATTCATGGCCCAAGTAAGGAAGTGCTTTTCAGCAAAAGCGCCTTAAGCACCTCTTCCATCATTTTTCCGGACAGGTCCTGGAGTTGGTCCGTCTGGGGCTCAGGTTATAGCCCCATTGTTTACTAAACAAGATGGTTTCATAACCTGGTTAAGTCTTTCTGCTCCTCAGTGCTTCACCTGTAGAACAGACATAATGAAAATACCTACCTCAAAGGGCAGCCAATGTGTGGTGCTTGATACATACATAGTAAATGCTCAGTATGTTTTTAAACTGTGCTATTTGGTGGGGGGGGGGGGGACATGACAGCACTGGAGTTTGAACTCAGGGCCTCATGCTTAAGAAAGTCTATCAGTCCTTTTTTGTAATGGTTTTGTAATGGGTTTTTTCAAACTATTTGCCTGAAGGCTGGCTTTGAACTGTGATTCTCCTGGGTTTTTCCAAACTATTTGCCTGGGCATGAGCCACTGGCGTCAAGCTAAACTATGCGATTTTACACACACACACACACACACACACACACACACACACACACACACACACACGTTCTCCCTGCAATGGCCACAGGATCAATGTGTCTCACACACACACACACACACACACACACACACACACACGTTCTCCCTGCAATGGCCACAGGATCAATGTGTCTCTCAAAAAGAGAAAGATATTACAAAGGGAATTTTCATCAACACCACAGTCCCGGATCCCACAATGCTCTTATCGAATACAAGTAAATAGAACACATATGTCAGGTAAGCAAAAGGCACTCAAAAAACAACTAAGTTCTCTTGTTTCTAATCTTGAAAACACTCTACCCCCAGTTTTAAGCAAAGACAGAATAAATGCAGTGATAAATGTGCCAGAGATGGTTACAAGGCAGAGCTGGACAGGAGAAAGTAGATAGGACAGGAGAGGCATTTTAGAGCCCTCTCCCCATCATCTGAGGCAAGCTGCATTCATCTCTTGCCTGGATACTGGCAACAGCCCCTAACTGATTTCATGCTTCTACTTTTGCCCCTCAATTCCATACACAGTAGTAACATTGAGCTTTGAAAAATATAAACCATGTTTCTTCTCTACCTAAAGCTTTGACTCCATGCCTGGACTCTGCAGTGAGTACGACCCTTTGATTCAAGTGTTCTTAGGCTCTCCCCATGCTCCTGCAACTGTATTTTGGAAGGGGCTGTTTCTTGTGAATGGACACCTCACCATGAGATTCACAGAGCTTCTTTGTGGTCATTCAGATCTTGATTAGGCTCCTATAGTCTCTGCTCAGATTTCCAAATTGTGTCCAGCATGGAAGCAAACAGGCAAGACATGTGGATGTAGTAAGGGTGGTAATAGAGTTCGTTAAAGGTTAGGAAAAAGTATTACAAAAAGCAATGGTGGGGACCCATCTGGCCAGATGGGATGGAAACAGGAAAAGGAAGCAGAGAGCACAGTTTCAAGGCATTTAAAACCCTGATAACCTGCGGAGGGGGAAATACCTGGGCAGTTCCTGATCACCAATAATCTGCGATGATGGATCATTGCACATTTGCAATTGAAATGGAGCCCTGGCAGGTCTTAAAAAAATTTTGCAACTAAAAGAGAGGTTTCAAAGAGAAAGAAAATGTTCAATCTGAAATGCAATGTTAGCTCACACATATTTAAGAGTCCCAATCTTTTTTTCTATTTCTAGCCTGCTTCAATCTCAGTTTAAGAGCACCTCCCAGAGACCTTTTCTGACTACCCTCTGCTACACATGGCAAGTTCCCTGCACAGTACTTATGTGATATTGCTCATGGTCCATCTGCAAGAGGATTCAAGCCACACGAGGGGAGCAACCTTGGGTCCTTTGTCCTGCTCTCCAATCATGTTACCTGCCTGGCAGGTCAGAGTGACTGAGAAATGAGTTTTAATGATGGCCAAGATTATCTATTTTTGCCTTTCCTCAAATGTACAGTAATTCTCCACATGATTTTGTGACACTTCCTGGTCAATAAGGAGCCAGATGTGGACACCAGTACTTATGGGTCCTAGATAGGAGCTTTAGCTTTTCTCCACTTCTGCTCCATCAATAAAAAGTAAGAATAATTCCTCACAGACCATAAGGATTAGGCAATACCCACGAATGCTCACTGAACTGAAGAGAACAGTACTCTTGCTCACTAGAGTTGAACATCGCTCATTTTAAAGATGATAAAAATGCAGCCCAAATTAACCATACCAAATGAATATGGATTTACACCAAGCTGTAAATCACAAACACCAAATAATATAGAAATGTATTGATTTTCAGAATACCAATGCAACACTTTTAGGTGGGGAAATAATAGGTGTTGAACGATGTGGCCATGCTTTTTTCTAATAGATTTTTTTCTTCTGTTTTTGACATTACTTCTCACACTGCTTGACCTTGAGGATTTAAAATGTGGTCATGGTACTGTTTTTTTGTCCTTTGCTAAATCTACACTAGATGAACTGCCTTTGGACATACAATATTGTTTATGATGTTATGATGTTTGCTTTTTCTAACTGGGACTTGAACCCAGAGCCTTGGGCATGTTAAACACAAGCTCTATCACTTGAGTTATACTTCAAGGCTGCTAATCATCTTTTGTGTTCTATTTTTTACCTGGCATAGAATTTTCTGAAATTTTCTTCAAGTAGTTACCAGGATTATTTTTAAATTTCAGCAATGACTACAGAATTGTTATAATGTAATTTTCTTGACACTTTTAGGCACTTGAGGCTTTTCCTAGACACCATCGTGGGTCCAGCGTTTTGAACTCTGGAGTTAGGTGCTGTTAAGATGGAACTGTAACTCTCACTAATAATAATGACTCAGAGCAACCACTCAACTTCTCCAAACTCAGTCCCTCCACTTGACACACAGTACTAGAGGCTGGAGTAGAACTCAGTATGCTTTGTATAGGTGAGACCCTGGTTCAATCTCAGCATTCCCCAATGTCCAAAAAAGGAGGTGGGGGGGGAGACGCTAATGATCAATCTCATAAGGTCATTGGGAGGATTCATTAAAAATCATGTGAGTGCAATGCTCCATACTTACTAAATGTTCAGTAACAACTACTCACTTCTTCAGAGTTTTGCTTCCTCTTCTTACAATCTTAGATCAATAAAACATTTAATATTTTCCAGATACATTCTATATTTATCATTTAATAAACATCTGACTTACCGGAAGCATGAAAAATGAAGGAATAACTAGTTTTCACTACATAATGTTAACATGTATGTAACAGTTCTGAAGAACACTGTCCCATACATGTGAAATGTCAACTTCACCATGTAATTAGAAGTTGTTAACCTAAAAAAGGACTACCCCCACTACCACTCATTTGTTCAACTTGCCATTGTATTCCATTTGAGTCAGCATAATCTTTATTTCAAAATAGCATTTATTATTTTAAAAATGTAAAAATCCAGCAAAACCAGAAATACGGATATATTTTCCTGGGCTTTCACATTTGTTGACTTTTATTCGCAACCTGTTTTTCAATACAATTTACAACTTTGTCCCCATTTCCAGTCTGATTATACAAGTGCTAAGTAGCAGAAAGGTCTCGAATAAATACATCAAAAAAAAAAAAAGAAAAGAAACCAAAGCTGTGAAGCTAAGTTGCATGCAACAGGTTCTAGAAGGGTAGGGTAGAGGAAAGAGTGAGATAATGTAACTGTAAGGTTTTAGCTAAAGTTCTTTCAGTCATCTTTGTCTTTTGCTCCATGTTTAAGGATGCGCGTGAATTCAATGTAATTGAAATTTCCCTTTTTGTCAATAGGGGCTTCTCTGTACAGCTCATCCACTTCCTCATCTGTAAATCGATCGCCCATGGTTGTCAGCAGCTCTCTAAGGTAATCCTCCTGAATGGTGCCTGGATGGTGAAAGAAAGCAGGGAGTCATGAATACTTCATGGCACCTTAATGGTTCATTTCTAAATCAAGCCAATCTTATAAAATATTTCAGAATAGCCATTATCTACATGAGCAAAATAAATTAGCAAGCTAAAGTCACTGTATAACTATGTCATTATTTTCCATTTACGTTTGCAGTTGTTGATTACTATTAAATCATTCAAAAAGCTTAGAAATAGATTTTATGCTTATAAAATTAATCTTAAGCAAGTATTCTCTAAAGGTTAAAAAAACCTTCTAGGAGTTGGGGAGTGTTAAAAAAAACACCTCTATTTCAGAGATATAAAGTCAAATAAAAAATAAAAAAGTGGCTGCTCAGAACAAAAGGCAGTACTGCCAAGGCCAAATGTGCAGGAAGAAGGCACATTGCTGAGCCATGGTGGGGAAGCAGCAGAGTGTGTGAGGGATATCTTAGGCGATGTGCTCAGCAAGCAGAAGGTTAATGCAGACGAAAAAGAGAAATCTGAAGAAGAAGAAAAGAAAAAATGAGAGGAAGCCAGGCTTAATGGCTTAATGGATTTTAAAAAGTTTCTCCAGAGGTCCAGTATAATGAAGAACAGAAAACAAAACAAAGCAAAACTCCAAGAAAAAAAAAGGACAAACCTAAGACTTTAATTGTTCATGCTAGCAACTATAATTTTTTAAAGGCTGACTGTCTCTTGAAGAGTAGTATTCATTGTCTGAGAGACTATTTAATGGACCATAATTCTCCTTTTGATTTTCAAGAAGCTTAGAGCCAAACTTCGAAGACAAATAATACAAACTGTAGCTTTAGAACCTAAATATCTATATCCTGCCCATTTTCAGGTGTATTGTCCTAAAGATAAGTAACAATTTATCTTTATTCATTTTTTCAAAACTAATTTGTTTCATTTCCTAAAAAGTGTTTCATGTACCTAAAATGAGGGTGGGCATAAACAAAGAAATAGCATTTACCTGTTGCTTCTTCATCAAAGCAAGCAAAAGCATTTCTGATGACATCTTCTGGATCTGTGCCATTTAACTTCTCACCAAACATGGTGAGAAACATGGTGAAATTGATGGGGCCTGGAGCCTCATTCATCATGGCATCAAGGTAGGCATCAGTAGGATTCTTCCCTGGAAGAATTCACATTTTCACATTTAAAGACTCATTTAAAGAACTCATTTCAATAAAGAAATTACTTGGCTACTATTATGTTACAAACATTTTTTTAAAAGTTACATCACAGCACTTGAAAATAATTTTTCAATTAACTTTTCTTAAGAGCATTTTAAGGGGTTAGGATATAGCTCAGTGGCAGAGCACATACTTAGCATATAGAACGTCCTCGATTTCATACTCAGCACCACAAAAAAAAGAATGTTTTTTAACAATTTGAAAAATCTTTGAAACATCATTACAAAATGCAATCTGGGGCTGGGGAGGTTGTTCAGGGTAGAAAGCTTGCCTAACATGCTCAAAACCCTGAGTTCAATCCTAGGACTACACCAAAAAAAACCAAAAAGCCAGCACCTGTCTTTTCATTGAAAACAAAACAAAAACCTGAACCTATGAACCAGGAAATGCCAAACTATTCATCTTGAATGTTGGTAATATTAAAGGTTGATTAGGGGAGTCACTTCAATACCAATTATTTTAAAAACTTAAATACTTCTATTTCTAATTGTGATACACTTGTTCATGAATTGGTATGCTTCAAAATTTTTATTTATAAGTTGGCCATTTAAGTTAAACTATTAGGTTGGTTTGGGGATTGGTAGCTCATTTGGAACAACATTTAATAAAATACTATTAGGTTGTCAGATAGGCAGTGTTTACACATGTTGCTGAGCTGGAAGTCCTGACAGCATTGTTTGCAAAGGGAAATATCAGCTCCAGCTGAGAAAGAGTCTTCTTTCACTACAGTGAAAGGGTCAGAACTCTCCTGCCCTTCTCTAGGAGCTGGGAAAAATCCCCTGGAATGGCCAATCTAAGTGGGAATTTCTGTAGGGCCCATGATGTGGGGCAAACAGCAAGAATTTCAATTGTACTATTGGCTATGAGTCCTGTTTTGGGCAAGCGGGTGAAGGGGGGGTGGTGACAGAACTGGGGTTCAAACCCAGCATTCCAGATTCCACACTCTGTATTCAGTGCCATTCTTGTCTACAGCTTCCTTTTTTTTAATCTGTAAAAAAGACTAGTTGAAAGGTCCCTTTAGGCATTAAGTCTGTATGATTCTATATAAAAGAACATTTGTTAGTCTGATGTTCATATCTAAGGAAGTGCCTAAAAGTTAACCCAGCTAAGTGCTGATGATAGTCAAATCATATGCAAATTGCAAACCTGGGAATTGTGGTGAAATTTAAATACCATGTTGGCATCAATTTCACTGCACCACAATCCTGCCTCATTATACCTACTTAACCAGAGAATCACCGAATAAGTGAAAGGAGTTTTTAAAACTCTGCTTTTCTGTTTGCAGGTTTAACACAACTTTCTTACAGCATTTTTTTGAGAGGAGGGAAGGGGGCTGTAACCCGAAGTTGTTCCGAGAACTGTGGGGTAAAAAAAGACACAGAAATTTTAAAATGGATTGGTTTAGGCTAAGCAGTTATGGACTCATTCAAGGATCTGATGTAATTTATTGATCTGAAACTTAAATTTAGGTCTATTTAAAGATTTCCCCCAATGGGAAGGTCCCAGAAGCAGCCTCTTGCCCTATTACCACTTGTTCATTCAGCACATATTTATTAAACATCTACTATGAGCAGGGACTAAACAAGTACACCCAGATATTCTGAATGCGGAAAACACTGGATATAATCTTCCTACAAATCAAGGAACTCTCTTGATTCTAATCTGACTCTGGGTAAAGGAAATGTTGCAAAATGTTAACAATTGAATACAGGTAAAAGATGCACAGGTATTCACTCTTCTTTTAACTTTTTGTAACCTTCAAAGTTTTCAAAATAAGGTTACAAGGAAAAAATCAAAATAAAAAATAAAGAACAAAAGCTAGCTAATCATTTTGTGGACACAAAAAATAAGCCAAAGTACTTCTCTCTTTGCCTTTCAGCCCTGAGATACTCTTACTGGGGAGTCAGCCAAGCAGGAGAATAACCCAAAATGTGGAGCCTCACTCAGTATAGGCCATCTCTGCTTCCAGTAGCCCCAATTCCCTCCAGCAGGAGCTAATCAAGGTCCTAGCTGCCTGCCACTTGGCCCTTTTCTCCCAACAGTAAAATCATTGCTGACTCTGGGCAGAACTTGCACAACCATCCCTCTTATCCTTCTTTTAAAGATCAAAACAAACAGTAACAAAATCATAGGAGGAATAATAAATTCACTCCCATATACCCAAAATAACAAATAGCAGTTTATGGTTTCTAAAAAAAAATTTAATTATAAAAAAAAAAGTATACATAATAGTGTTTAAGTCCCTTTCCTTCTATTCCCTTTTAAGTAACACTGCCCTTCCTCCCCAGGGACAATCATTATTATTCATTTTTGTCACCCTTTTCTTTGCAACCTGTCCTCAATCTTTATTAACTATACTATATTACTAGCTCTACTTATTATTCATAATTCTGGTATTTTGCTGCCTAACTTATCTGCTGGCTTTCAGTCTAAACAGTCCTAAAGCATGTAGCTAACAAGAACGTAAGCCTATCCAGCCACAGGTTATCCCCTCATGTCTAGCCCAGTTCCAATATTGCACTACTCACACCCAGAAATCTCTCTAGGGCCTTCTAAGACAAGGAGAGGAATATCTGTACATAACACAAAAAAATGACTCAAAGAGATGAATTATCATTTGGAGGAAAAAGCATATAAAAAATGTAAAAGTCTACCTAAAGAAGCAAGCATATCATGCAGATCTTCCTTATCAATGAAGCCATCTCTGTTCTGGTCGATCATGTTGAAGGCCTCTTTGAACTCCTGGATCTGTGACTGGTCAAACATAGCAAACACATTGGAGGTTGCACGCTGAGGGCGCTTCTTGGTGGTCTTGGTCTTTGCCTTTTTGCTCGACATGATGGCTGCTTAATTCTGGAGTTAAAAAGACATAAAACAAAAAAGAATATATGACACTAAGCAAAAAGAGGACATACACACCTGAAGTTAGTAAGAATATCTTAAGATATAATTTATTACTTAACACGCGGTGGAAAAAGTACACATCTTTAAACTTATTTTCAATGTGACAATTAA